TCTTTTTTTCAAAAAGAATAGTTTCCAAACCCTAACTCCAAACTTGTTTTTTTCCAAATCCATTCTCACTTTCAAGGTTAAAAACTTGAAACATCTAATAGTAAAATTCAAAGCCTCAATTTTTTTGAGCCATCCATATACAAAACGCATGATATTTCTAATAAATGTTCGAAAATGTACTAATACCGGTAAATACTTAACTGATAATAAAAATTTTAATTTGAACCAACAAGAACTTGACCAAATTAGTGTTTATTAATTTAAAACCCTTAATTTAGTCCTAGTTGAAATTTCTAAAATATCAAGTACGGTCAAGCTTTAAATAAACAAAAGAAGAAGAAAAAAAAAAAACAACAACACTGATCAATGATTTAGTAAAGATTCGAGAATTTAATTAAGTGCAATGTAAAGTTGGGTACCTGATAAGCCTTAGAGATTTGGTTGAACTTATTAGCTTCAGGATTCCGTTTCATTGCGAGCTCGTATGCCTTCTTCAACTCTTCATCTTTAGCATTACTCGGAACCTGCAGAATCTTGTAGAAGTCCCTTTCCATCCTCTCGTCTTCTTCTTCTTCTTCAAGTCTGTGTATTGGGGTTTGATTTCATGGTCGTTGCTTTCCCTTATTCTTTTTATTTTGTACTAACCAAAGACTCCTTCGGTCGCAAGCTTGAGAAAATTCCTTCTTTCCTCCACAACCTTTTTGATATGGGACAACTTCATCCATAACCTTCATTTTGTGCCTGCAGTGGTCCTAAAGCTCTATGATAAAGAGGTGGCCAAAATATACTCAACCCGTCAACTTGACTCTAACCCAACCAGTAAAAACAAGTTAGGGTCTACATATCCCAATCCGCAACATATAAATAACCTATAAATAACCTATAATACCAACCCATACGGGTCACAGGTCGGCTTAGGGTCAACCTGTGGGTTGACAAGTTGATCAGTTTACTTTATTTATTATTATTATTTTTAAAAATACTATACTTATTATTCTTAATTAATTTTTTTATTGATAACTCTCTCAATTAATTTATACTCTTCAACCTCATTTCCATTACTCAAATGATTTTGAACTTATTTTGAGTGTTTACTCATCATTATTCTTCTATTTTCTTTAGAAATTATGTGAGTTTGATCTAATCACCAAAGTATCATGAATTAAATAATAATATAACTAAAAATATTAAAGATGTGATACTAGGATATGATGAGAACCCCAAAGAGAATAATGAGACCCATAGCACGACAAGGAATTTCTAAACTCCAAGAAAGGTAAATCAGGTTTATAATAGGACCTTAACCCGTTGTTCATGTCGCAACAAGAACCAAAGGTAAAAACCTTGACCCGTTGTCTATGACGCAACAAGAACTAGAGGTATAAAGTCGGTTGACGCCACACCCTCGAACAATGAAGAACGAGAAGTTAGGTTAGAACGCCACAAGAATAATTTTGATAAGTTCTGTAAAGTTCTCAAACGAACCAAAGAGAAAAGTCTCTCAAAACTCAGATTCAATAGCTTTCCCCCATTAGGGTTACAAGCCCTTTAAATAGAGAAAACAAATCCTAATCAGAATAGGAAATTAACACCCTAAGGCCTAAACCTAATAACCACGAATTGGGCTTCAAATAAACAAATGCTCAGTCCAAAAATAATACAAGAAATGTGAAAATCACTAAAAATAACCTAAAATATCACGAAATATCAGTTTGCTACAAATTGCGGCAAAACTGTGCGATTTTAACACAAACTGTGTAATTCCGTGCAAATGACCTCAACTAAGCTTCTCTTGAACTTGAATGATGTTTACCATGCCTTAATAATCATCCAAGCTTTGATTTGCTTGTTGTATGTTGTTTTCAACCCAGATCTGCTCAATAAGGCCATTTAAAGCTTCACGCATCTTCTTAGCTCTAGCTCGCATGACTGGACCTCCTTGGGTGTGTAATGGATCGCATGACATAGTAGATATGCTGTCATCTTGATTCCCATCATTCCCTCTCTCCTCAAAAGGATTTGTCCTCAAATCGTCACCTACATCAAAAGGGGAAAGATCAAAAACATTAAAAGTGGCACTAACATTATACTCACCAGGAAGCTCCAACTTGTATGCGTTGTCATTAATCCTCGCAATCACTTGAAATTGTCCATCGCCTCTTGGTTGCAGCTTAGAACATCTTTGTGCAGGGAATCGCTCCTTGCGCATATGCACCCAAACCCAATCTCCAGGTTCAAATACAACTTTCTTGCGTCCTTTGTTGGCTTGTTTTGCATATTGCTCAGTTCGTCACTTTATGTTTTGTCACACCCTCTCATGCAGTTGCTTAACCACTTCAGCTTTCTTTTTCACATCCAAACTAGCTTGTTCGTCAATAGGTAAAGACAATAAATCTAAAGGATTAAGTGGATTAAAACCATACACAACTTCAAATGGCGAATAGTTAGTTGCTGAATGGACGCTTCGATTATAAGCAAATTCAACGTGCGACAAACACTCTTCCCAGTTCTTCAGGTTCTTTTGAATAATAGAATGCAATATGGCTGACAACGTCCTATTAACCACTTCTGTTTGTCCATCAGTTTGTGGATGACAAGTAGTCGAAAACAATAGCTTAGTTCCCAGGTTTCCCACAACGTCTTCCAAAAGTAACTCAAGAATTTGACATCGCGATTAAAAACGATAGTCCTTGGAATGCCATGTAAATGAACAACGTCCTTGAAGAATAGATCCGCAATATTGGTTACATCATCAGTCTTATGACATGGAATGAAGTGTGCCATCTTCGAGAACCTGTCAACAACAACAAAAATAGAATCGTGGCCTCTTTTTGACCTTGGTAAGCCCAAAACAAAATCCATAGATACATCAATCCAAGGTTCAATAGGTACGGGTAAAGGAGTATACAAACCATGTGGTAAAACTCTAGATTTTGCTTGTTTACATGTTACACACCTTTCACAGATCCTTTCAACATCACATTTCATGTGTGGCCAAAAGAAGTGATCATACAAAATATCTAAAGTTTTCCTAACTCCAAAATGTCCCATTAAGCCTCCCGCATGAGATTCCCTTACTAACAATTCTCTTAAGGAATAGTTAGGCACGCATAATCGATTTTCTCTAAACAAGTACCCTTCATGCCTATAAAACTTATCAAAAGCAATCTTCTCACATGCATTAAACACGTTAGTAAAATCTGGATCATTAGCATATAATTCTTTAATGTGCTCAAAACCTAATAACTTTGCACTTAGGGTAGAGATAAGTGTGTACCTATGAGACAATGCATCGTCCCCAATATTTTCCTTTCCTTGCTTATACTTGATTACATAGGGAAACGTCTCAAGGAATTCCACCCACTTAGCATGTCGTCTATTCAACTTACCTTGTCCCTTTAGGTGCTTCAACGACTCATGATCAATATGTATCACGAACTCCTTAGGCCAAAGATAATGCTGCCATGTCTTTAAAGCTCTTACCAATGCATGCATCTCCTTGTCATAAGTAGGATAGTTAAGTGCTGCACCAGTCAATTTTTCACTGAAAAATGCAATAGGTCGCCGCTCTTGCATCAAAATAGCACCAATGCCAATAACTGATGCATCACATTCAATTTCAAAAGTTATAGTACAATCAGGTAAAGCAAGTAACGGTGCAGAAATTAAATTTCCTTAATTAAATTGAAAGCATTCTCCTGTTCACTTTCCCACTTAAATCCAACACTTTTTTTCACAATTTTAGTTAACGGTGCTGCAATTGTGCTAAAATCCTTGATGAATCTCCGGTAAAAACTCGCCAAACCATGAAAACTCCACACCTTAAAAATATTTTTAGGTGTCGGCCATTCTTTAATAGCCTTAACCTTTTCTTCATCTACTGCGATTCCATCAACTAAAACAACATACCCTAAAAAAACAATCTGATTTGTGCAAAAGAAACACTTTTTAAGGTTAGCAAACAACTTTTCTTTTCTCAACACCTCTAGTACCATTCGCACATGCTCAATATGTTCAATTAAACTCTTGCTATATATCAGAATGTCATCAAAATAAACAACCACAAATTTGCCAATGAAAGCACGAAAAACATGATTCATTAATCGCATGGATGTACTAGGCGCATTAGTTAATCCAAATGGCATAACTAACCACTCATATAAACCATGTTTCATTTTAAAGGTTGTTTTCCATTCATCTCCTTCCTTCATCCTAATCTAATGATATCCACTCTTTAAATCAATTTTAGAGAATATGCAAGAACCATGCAACTCATCTAACATGTCATGTAATCTAGGAATAGGGTGATGATACTTTATAGTGATTTTGTTGACCGCACGACAATCAACGCACATACGCCAAGTCCCATCCTTCTTAGGCACAAGTGGCACTGAAACAGCACATGGACTCATGCTTTTTCTTACATGTCCCTTTTTCATGAGTTCTTCGACCTGCCTTTGAAGTTCTTTTGTCTCATTGGGATTGCTTCGATATGCTGGTCGGTTTGGAATTGTTGCACTAGGAATGAAGTCAATTTGATGCTCGATTCCTCTTATTGGTGGTAAACCATTAGGAACGTCATTTGGAAACACATCCTTGAAGTCCTACAAAAGAGATTTAACAACACTAGGCAAAGAATCATTAAGTTCGTTAGTGTTGAAATAAGCATCTTTATACAAAAGCGCAAACATAGGCTACTTTACAAAGAACGCAGCCTTAACATCACTTTCTTTTGCATAAACACTCACTGATTTTATCTCTTTCCTTTCAACACTCTCAATCTTTTCTCTCTTTTTGGACTCTTTTCCTGCTATTTTCTCTTTGTTTTTCATACCCCCAAGCTCACTTTCATTTCTCTGCTCACTCTCTTTTTTTACTCTCAGTTGATCCTCATAAACCTGCCCTGGACTCAATGGTGCAAGAGTAATTATTTTCCCCTCCATGACAAATGAATAGGGATTTTTGAAGCCATCATGTGTTACTCTCCTATCATATTGCCATGGTCTCCCTAAAAGTAAATGTCCAGCATGCATAGGAACCACATCACAAAGTCCTTCATCCTTATATCATCCAATAGAGAATGAAACCAGAACTTGCTTATTTACCTTGATTTCTCCACAATCATTTAACCATTGTAGCTTATATGGATGCTTCGTCATAGGTAAATTAAGCTTTTCAACTAAAATAGTGCTACCTACATTAGTACAACTACCACCATCAATAATCACACTACATACCTTGTTTTTGACATGGTACCTCGTGTGAAATATGTTGTCATGTTGTACTTCATCATCTTCTTTGGCTTGCACATTCAAAGCTCACCTGGTGACAAGCAGTTCTCCATCAACAGCATATTCCACACCATCATTAGCATTTTCTAATGGTGGCATAGATTCATCTTCAGATTCACCCTCAGTTTCAATTTCTCCATCTTCTCTCAAGATCATCAAGTCCTTATTAGGACATTGCGAGGTAACATGCCTCCTTCCCAAGCATCGAAAACACTTGATGTCTCAATTTCTGCCTTGCGTATTATCTGTTTTACTCTTCTCATTGCTGCCAACTTCTTTTGATTTAGATGCTGCAATTTTAGGCTTAAAAATAGAATTTTCTTCCTTTTTGCTCCAATTCAGTTTCCAAGAAGATGAGGAACCTGATTTTTGCCCAGTTCTAGTGGTGGCTCCTTTACGCTTGAGTTGCCATTCTACTTTCATCGCCATATGCACCACACATAATGCTGTAGCTCCACCACATTAGCTATATCATGATTTAAGCCATGCATAAACCGTGCCATAGTTGCTTCTCTGTCCTCTTCCACATTCGCTCTAACCATTGCGATTTCCATCTCTTTGTGATAATCCTCAACGCTTTTAGACCCTTGAGTAAGGCCCTGCAATCGTTGATAGAGATCACGATAGTAGTGACTAGGAACAAATCATTTTCTCATCATAGCTTTCATCTCTTCCCAAGTGTCAACAAGATGCTCTCGATTTCTACGTTGACTAAGCACAAGCTGATCCCACCACACCACAACATAATCAGTAAATTCCACTGTTGCTAGTTTCACATTTTTCTCCTCAGAACAATTATGGAAATCAAACACCAATTCCACCTTCTTTTCCCACTCCAAATACACATCTGGATCATTCTTGCCTTGAAACAGAGGAATCTTCATCTTGATGCTACCTAAGTCACGATCTTACCAATCTCCCCACCTTGCCAAATTTTGGTCTCCTGTGTTAAATCTATATATGTGACCCCCTCTACCTCTCATAAATCTGTCCATGCTGAAATTTGAGTTCTGGGCATCATCATTGAATGCATCTTCATCATTGTCATCAAGACCGTGATTATGCAAATTTGGATTTCCATTATGTATTTGGTATAACTTGGCAATGGTTGCATCTTGCTTCTCCATTTTGTCTTTAATTTCACCAAACATGATGTCTAGCCTCTGAAATTGTTGTTGCATAGCTTTGAGCATGAAGGAATCATCCATTTGGTGTTTTCTATCATCACCACTTGACATGATTGAAACCTGCAACGAATGTTAGAAACAGAAGAATAAAAGGACCTCACAACACTCCCTTACGTGTTTCACTCCACTCTCTCACAGAATGGCACTCAACACTCATGTTTTACACACTGTAGAACTTGGCTTTTCTCTCAAGTGTTACTCACACCTTTTGCCTTTTTCCCTCACTCAACTTTCCTCTTTCAGTTTGTTATTGAACTAAACAAGCTCAATTCAAGTTATTTTGCAGCAATCTAACTCCAACAAATCTGCAAGAGTTAAAGGAAACAGAAAGACACAAAGGAATGAACAAGAAAAGCAATAAAAGAACCAAACCCAAACAAATTAAAACAATCAGATTAGTTCAAGCACTTCCTAGTAGGAATTGACTTGACTATTCCTTAATGCAATAGGATTCCTAACTTAGGAAGGAATAAACAAAATTGTTATCTCCTTGTTTGAATAGAACTCAAAGAGAATTTTCAACTCCTTATTGGAGTGGGATTCCTTCTCCTTTAAGGATTTGGCCACAGATTTCTTCTCTGTATAAGGAATTCCAACCACATAATTGTGTTGCTTGTTTTTCTCACTTTTTTTTTTTTGGCAATCCTTTTCCTTTTTTTTTTGTATGACTTTTTTCTTCCTTTTTTTTTCGTGCTTTTTTGTCTCTCTCTTCTTCTTTTTTTTGGTGATCCTCTTCCCTTTTTTTTTTGTACTACTTCTTCCCTTTTTTTTTTCTTATTTTCGTGCTTTTTCTTTCTCTCTCTCTTTTTTTTTATTTTTTTTTTGAACCAGCAACATAGATTCAGCAGAGCAAAATAAGAAAAAGAAGAATGACATTGATTTTTTTTTTTTTGAAGATAAAAACTGAAAATTAAAGATACGCAAACTTGATTTAGGGATCTGATGCTCTGATACCAAGATGATGAGAACCCCAAAGAGAAAAATGAGACCCACAGCACGACAAGGCATTTCTAAACTCCAGGAAAGCTAAATCAGGTTTATAATAGGACTTTGACCCGTTGTTTATGTCGCAACAAGAACCAAAGGTAAAAACCTTGACCCGTTGTCTATGACGCAACAAGAACTATAGGTATAAAGTTGGTTGACGCCACACCTTTGAACGATGAAGAACAAGAATGATAAGTCAGGTTAGAACGCCACAAGAATAATCTTGATAAGTTCTGTAAAGTTCTCAAACGAACCAAAGAGAAAAGTCTCTCAAAACTCAAATTCAATAGCTTTCCCCCATTAGGGTTATAAGCCTTTTAAATAGAGAAAGCAAATCTAATCAGAATAGGAAATTAAGACCCTTAGTCCTAAACCTAATAACCACGAATTGGGCTTCAAATAAGCGAATGTTCAGCCCAAAAATAATACAAAAAACGTGAAAATCACTAAAAATAACCTAAAATATCACAAAATATCAATTTACTACAAATTGCAGCAGAACTGTATGATTTTGACGCAAACTGTGTAATTCCGTGCAAATGACCTCAACTAAGCTTCTCTTGAACCTAAATGATGTTTACCATGCCTTGATAATCATCCAAGCTTCGATTTGCTTGTTGTATGTTGTTTTCAACCCAGATCTGCTCAATAAGGCCATTTAAACCTTCACGCATCTTCTTAGCTCTAGCTCGCGTGACTGGACCTCCTTGGGTGTGTAATGGATCACATTACGTAGTAAATATGCTATCATCTTGATTCCCATCAAGATATAAACGTAATAATTTAGTGAAGATGTTCTTGGAATAGCAATTTCATCATTAAAAAAAGGCTTAAACTCCTTGATAATATTTTAAGATGATTGTAAAATTAAAACTTTATTTTTTCAAGAAATTGAAATATTCTAAGTTTAATATTGTTAATTAACTTATTGTTATTTATAACTTTATGATTTTTTCTTAATTCAAATATTTGTAGTGAAGATTATAAAGTACTTAATGTTAATGAGTTACGGTACTTTAATTAGATTTAGACATATATAATTTTATTTGTATATAATAAAATTAATAAAAACAATTATAAAAACTGAAAATAAAGTCAACTCACAAGTTAATCCGTAATTCGTTAAAATCGAGTTAAGGTTGGAGTTTTTCAACCCATAACCCGTTTATGACCCAATCCATATAACTCGTCACCCGAGTTAACTCAACCCGAACTTAACTCAACCTACCTGCTTGCCAGGTCTTTTAGTGGCCACTAGTGATCCCCTTCCGTTAGTATGACTCGTTAAAATCCGAACCAAATGCTGGTGTGAGGGGACCCTCAACGAATGAAAAATAATGCTATTAATTTTTCGGTTCTTCTATTCTTATGCCCAATGACACAAAATAATACTTTCTTCTTCTTCTTTTTTTACTAAAGCCTTGGATATTTGAAAGTCATATTAAATTCTGACTAAATTTGAAATTAAGTTGGGTTGAACCTCATGAGAGAAACCTCTCCTAACGCTTGTTTTCTCTATTCACAATATTTAAATTTAAGATTTTATTTTTAAAAAATCAAATTCTTTTTATTTAAATCAACGCGTTGTTGGTATAATATTTTTATTTAACTTTAATTGTGATTTTTTAATTAGTGGAGTTTAAATTTAGTTTCCACTAAGTCATTTTAAGATGTTTCTTTAGTACCTTTATTCCTATTTAATCTTTATTTTAAGAAAATAATTTCAACACAAATTACAATATGCACATATATTACAATATGCACAAATTGGTATCTTTTTTCCTTTTTTTTTTTTTTTTGAACATGGGAGAATGTGGGAAAATGAGGATAATTTAGCTACTATTGTAGCAGATGAAACTCTGATGAATGCCAAGAGTTCAATGCATCTGAATCAAAAAAGTCAAAGCTATTGATGTGCACAAATGGATATCTAAGTAGTAATGATTAACTAAAAATAAATATAAAATTTTAGTAATTAATTATTACATCATTATTTTATTAAAAAAGAAAAAACAAAATAAACCTACTTATCTTAAACAAAGGTACTACTAATGTGGTGCTATAAGCATATCATTTTTGTAATACTTATGGTTGAGTAATGATTTTTAATTTTTGTATTGAAAATGTAAGAGTTGACTTTAATTTAAGTCATGAATACCATGTGTTTGTTTTTCATTGGCTTACTCCCTTGTTCAACGCTAATAGGCCTAAATTTTAAATTTGGAGTATTTAAAATTAATTATTCACTTTTTTAAGGATTTTATTTAATATATTTATTTATATTTTACTCTTATTTTAAAATAAATACTTATAACGTATATTTCAATAAAAATGCTTATTTAAGTAATATTTTTTTAAAGTAATGATTAATGAAGGATCAATAAAAAATTTATCAATGAATTATACAACAAATGCAACACACCAAACAAAATTAATATTTTACGTGAGCTTAACAAAAATTTAAATTTATGTGGCATTAACAACGCAGGTATCCTATAGGTGGTAATATAAAAATCATTAATTTTTCTCTCAGATCATTTTCTTATAGTAAGAAAATACTAAACTCTTCTTATTGAACTATTAGACAGACCCTACAAGTCCTCATCCCGCAGTTACCACATTCTTATTCCTCTTTGCTTTTTCTGTCTTTGCCTTCTCTTACTTTTCTCTCCTGAAAAAAAAAATTAATTTGGTGTTCTGTAATTTGGATTACATTGGATTGCAAAATACCAGTTATTAAATCAAGGGCTCTCTTACAATATTACGGGCCCATTTTAATCCAATATTAGTGGCGGGTGTTTTGCAGTTTGGTGTACATTACAAAACACTTTCTCTATAAAATATCCATAGAGAATGGTTTTTTTAGTTTGGATTGCTTAAAAAAGTGCAACCTGAGTAATAAAAGTATCAAAACACCTTTAATAAATCTTATTTAATAAATGTATTTAAATACATGAATTGAAAAAGGAAAAAAAAAAATTTCTGATATCCATAAATGATAAATCTTATAGAACTGTTTTTTTCAACCTTTCCACGTAACCTTTTGTTTTACAAAATGTGGCAAACAAAAAAGCAAAATTGAAGACCATAGTAGCATCGATGGAAAAAAGCCCTCCACTTGGTTCTATCCCTTTTTTTAAGAACCAAAAACTAAAAAAAAAAAAAAAAAGAGAGAGAAAAAGGTAGACTCTTTCTTTTTGAAACAAAAGGAACTAAGAGCTGGGAATTGACTCCTTAGATTTGTAGCGGTTGTGTAACCTTATTGACGACCCAAATAGTAAAAAGGCACTAATTAAGATGCATGTTTTTAAAATTTAGCTTGATCCAGTCAGGTAAATCAGTTGACCTAAACTTAGTTATAAAAATGGATTGAGTTTATACTTAACTCGTTTTGAAGAAAAACCAAGTAAAACTTGACCAAACCTTGCTAACATGTTAACTCGACTCAATCATTTTCAAAATCATTTTATTTTTTTTTTCTTCTTTTAAATTTTTTATGCATTTGATGGAAGGATCGCTAGTGGCGTTGTCATAAAGCGTTGGGACCAGTGCTAGCACAAAATGAAGGTTATGGATGAAGTTGTCCCATATTTAAAAGTTTGCGGAGGAATGAAGGAATTTACTCAATCTTCCAAACGAAGGAGTCACTCTAGTCAAAAAGCTTTGGGACCATTTTACGAGCCACGTTGACGGAAGGATGACTGGTGGCATTGTCATACTCATAAAGCTTTGGGACCGTTGCTGGCACAAAATGAAGGTTAAGGATAAAGTTGTCTAATGTTAGAAAGGTTGAGGAT